TTTAAGTTCTAGAAGAGGTCATAATTCAGCACTTGTTGACTTCAGAGACACTAGGTCAGACTCCACTAATTCCATTTGAGTGATTACTGTGAGAACTACTGTGTTCTGAAAACAGGATTTTAAAAGCAGGGTTTGTATTTTTATGACATTAAGGAGTGTGTGGCATAATGTGAACATGGGAATGTGTCAGGTTTTGCACACTGATTGATTAGTACCTTTGCACGTGGATGGTTTCAGGTGTCACCTGAAGACTTTGGGGCTGGGAGTGGGACAGGCAGTTGTCATCAGATTACAACCATACTGTAGCCTCTGCTAGACTGCAGGGAAGCTGGCAACTACATGGGACTTCTGCTGGCAACAGGTGCAGTACTGTTTCTGCCAAAGCAAAGCTATTTTGGGGCATTGAACATCTGTTTATTCTGCTGTTAGTGATTGACTACATTATAGCCTGTATCCTCATGTGCTGGAAGGCAGCATTAAATGTTTTTAAATGGCCCTTCAAAAGTTTGCCTTCACACTGGCTTTATTTACTTATTCATTGATACCAAAGTTTGGTAATAAGGATCAAGCTTTTCATTTTTGCTAGGGGTCTGACCAAGGTCCATCCAATCAAGATCAGGCATTATCTGCCCAACAAGCTGCTGTAATTAACCTGACTGGAGTAGGGAATTTTATGCAACCTCAAGCCACAGGTATGTGCTTGCTGAGCCTCCTTTTGTAGTTAAGTGTGTATGTTGATAAATTCACACTGAAATGAAGTTTGGTCTTAAAGAAGTCTTATGTTAGATCTGAACAGTTTACTGTTTATTATCAGCACATGTATTATACAAGACATACTGAACTTACAAAGCATCCATTTCTCTGCTTTGGCAGTTAAGGGTAGTCAATTGATAATATCACATGAAAATAAGTTACGCTTAATACAAAAAGAAAATGCAGGAACTTCCATGCCAGACTTCATTGAGGAATGTTTCTTTAACTGTGTGCTTAACATCCAGTGTGAGAAACCTCTTTCGTGTCTCCACACGCACCTCATAATCTAATTATGTTCTAACAGAGTGTGTATATCATGTATACTTTATTCTGTACTGTATCCAGTTTGACTTTGAAACTAATTCTATTGATCCCTCTTTTCTGTTAACCTGTATTCCTATGTCTTCCTTCCCCAACCCTGACAAACTCAACCTGACCTCTTTGACCTGCCTGCTTTCCCCTTCTTTCTCAGTGTTGTCTCAGCTTGGCTCTGCTGTGAACAGACCTGGGCAAAGCCTTCCTCAGCAGAGACTCCAGCTCTCTTCTGCCTTGCAACAGCAACAACAACAAGCCTTGCAGCAGCAGCAGCAACAGATACAAGTAAACCAGCAACTTCACTCTGACTGTGTTTAAAATTTACAAAAATTTTTAACAAATTTAAAAATACAATTCTTGGCTCCAAAATCAAAACTCTTGCCCTTTTTTGACTTGGTTAACTAATGTAGTTATGGTCTCACAAGTTAAAAAACAAAAGACACAACATGAATTTGGCAAAGTATCATGCAGGATTTAAAATCTGTGGTTCTCTCAGCTTGGAGCATTGAATTTATTTTTGTTCATTTAAGCCATCCACCTTCGTGATTTGCAAACATTCAAGGGGTGCTTGTGGCACATATCTAAATTAAGCTCGGCCAGATGCCAATAATTTCAGAATAGCAGGACTTGTAAGCACCTGAAGTTCAACTGTAGCACTGCCATGTCAGTACATGGCAGTAACAGCTCTGCAAAGGATTCCTTTAGCAGTATGTCATGCAGATGCTTTATGAAAATATTTTAATATTTTTTAGCACACAGTCTCCTCTTTGTAATACATACAGAAAATATGTACCATGCATACATGGAGAAGGTATGATGTTAAAAATACACTACGCTACCCAGACATTCACTGAAGTTGCTGAGTTACTGCAGTTACTGCAATGGAGACAAAGGGCAAAGAAACAAAGCTGTCCACATACACGTGTAAAATGCTAGCTGTGCCCTCGGCAGGCTTCTGTGCCACTGGTGCTGCTTGACTGTAGCCATTACCCCAGTACATGGTGTGTTCCTTGTGTCAACCTGGTGCCTCCATATTTTTGCTTCTACACACCCCCCCAGCCCCTCCCCTTCCTCTCATTCTTCCTGACATGAAAGCTTTACAGTCAACACTAACAAGCTTTTTCTCCCCCTTCTCCTTCATGGCAGCAGTTGCGATTCTTGCAGCATCAAATGGCTATGGCAGCAGCAGCAGCACAAGCAGCTCACCTGGGTCATCAACAGCATACAGGCAGCCACTCAAAAAGTAAAAGGAAAAGAGGCACACCGGCCCCTCCAAAATCATGAGACTTGCCTCCCCCCCAATAAAAATTGATTCAGAGGGGATTTTTTTTCAGGAGAAAGCTTAAAATAATTTAGTGTTTTATATTACTGGTGGGAAAATGAATTTTTGGCATTACACTAAAATAAAGGAACTGTTTTTGGAAGCCAGCCCTACAGAACTGAGAAACTTCATCTATAAAGCAGCTAGGATCTGGTTTCCTTAAGTTGCTTAATTTTTTAACAGAATGTTTTATCTTGTATTTTTTACAACTCAATGGCATTGTACATAGAACAAGGGTGAAAAAGATTTTAGAAAAAATGAACTTTTTAAATGTAGTTATTGGTATTTGTTTATTTAGTATAAAAGGTTTGTGAACACTGTAACAAATACAAGTTTTACAAATCCATTTTTTAAAAGATCTCTCCTTTTGTTCACTCGGGTGTTATACTTTTTATTACTTTGTCTATCAACTTCTTTACTTCTTTGTGTCTTGTAATTGCTCTAGTGATACAGTCCTGAAGCTTGGCTCCTGTAAGAGGACTTCCACCTAAAAATTAAAGGGAAGAATTTGATTTTCTACTTATACTTCAGTTACGTATCTCAAAATGTGATTTCCAAGTAAGAATAATAATACAGTAATTCTCATGCCCCACACCTTTCACCTGGGGAGCATACAGCTTTCCCAGATCCAACCTCTGGCTGAGATAATGGAAACAAGTGGAGCTGTAACAGGAGACATGCTCAAAATCTGTCCTCTGCTCTGTGTAGGTCAAGATGTGACTTCTTTTTTGAACTCAAAACTAATTTCAAGAGCAACTTAATGAGTATTCCAGCAGACACTGTTACCATAAAGCACCCACATCTTACAAAGCAAAACAGGTACATAATCTTTTTTGACCCAGCATTATCATCTTCATAGGCTTCTCTGCAATAAATCTGGAAGTACCTGGTTTATGCACAGAACAGAGTCTGCCTTCTTCATCAGTTACAATGGTCACTGTTCCAGTTGCTAAATCTTCTTCTTCAGCAGTTGGATCAACAATGAGTAATGTGCTTGTGAAAGAAAAACACATGCAGTAACATTAGTGCACATTGCTCCATTAATGTTATTGCAAAATAGGCATAACATTCATTTTTACTGTAGTCTTACAAAATACTTGTAGATGGACTTAGGGCCCTGGGTTATCTGTTTTCTTACTAAAATGCACTGATTAAAAACAACTAAAAGCCAAAGAATGTGGGAAATTCCACATAACCAATGTTATGTCTGTTGAACTTTATGCCTAAGTTTCACAGATTTGTGAGACCTGTGTATTGCAGGAAAATGCCACTAAACTGCTGTTTGCAGTATGCAGTCACGTTGTACTTACGCAGAGGCTGGCGTTGTTTTTAGGTGTAGGCTGCACTAATCTCTACCAGACACCTGAAGGCAAAACTAATTTCCAAGGGTAAGTTCACCAAAGTCATTCTCAGTTTCTTGTCAGAGAACTCTAACATCACTGACTTGGAGTAGTTAAAAAATGGATTTACTGGGCTTCTTAAGGCAGCCACAATATGCATCGTGACATATGAGAGGTTACCATTAAGAGATTAAATACAGCTATTTTTTGAACTATTAAAGTTAAAAATAGAGCAAAATCCATGGGAAAAAAGAGGATCTAAACTATAAGCCAACTTTGCTCACCAAGAAAGACCTGAACTTAAAGCCAAGATGTAAAACTTCACCAATAGTTTCTGATTGCCATTTACTAGCAAGTGTAACAAAAATAATCCTTAGCTACACCACTCAAAAATACTGCTTTATTAAGTCTACCCCCATGCACTGTGCCACATCAGCCCTTTGTGTGACGCAGGGACACGTGAAGCGTTTGATGCATGGTGTATTTTTTATGTACAGGTTGGCACCACAGGAGCTGTGGAGCTGCGCAGCCTCTGCGCCAATGCTCCTCGTCCAGGGCCACAGTAACCAGCAGCCTACAATGCTTATTTATTTGAGAAAGGCTTTTATGCAGAAAAAAAATGCCTCTGGAAACCTGAGTTTGTAAAGCATTTTACTGAGAGGGCTGTGTCAACTGCTGTAGAAAAATTAACCAACCAGAACTTAAAAACAAAGCCCCAGGCACACAACACAGGCACACCTAGGCATACACCCCCTCAGTATTTCACTTTGTGAGGAAAGGGAGGCTTTCATAACTTGTTTGATGCAACAGTCAGTGTTTCAGTGAAGGAAACAAAGCCGAACAGACACTCATGGAAAGCTTTCTTCCAAAGGCAACTTTTTTGTCTACGCGCACGTATCTGTGATTTGTGTGCAAATAGTATCCTACTGACAGCTGTCTGCTTGGTGTTACCCAAACACTCTTAGTCTCCATCAAATTTCAGACTCACCAGAACTGGTACTAAAGCAGTTAACACAGACACTCTAAAGTACCAACAACATCCTGCTGTGATTCATTTTGGTAGTCACTAGGTGAACATTTGAGTTCATTGCTCTCTCCACACCATCTCTCATTTGAATGAAAGGCCCTACTTATAATTTCTGTGAATAGAGATTAATGTGCCATAAACCCCAGCATCTCTAAATAGACCTAAATCTTAAACAGCACGGAGCACTATCTTATTTGTCATTTTCTACTTGTCAAATGGATGGCACCAGAAATGACTGTACTTCTTATCAACAGCAGCAGAACACATCCTTAACATACTCGGGCTAATGAAGAGCCAGTAAACAATTTCAGATGAGGATTCAAGTTATCAGATGTGATTACTCTGAATTCTCATAATCAGATTCTTTTCCTACCTGAACAATGACTTAAGAGTGCTGGTTATACTTCATCTTGGGTAATTATGTTTTCAGTTATCCAGAGGTTCTGTTATTCTCACTGGACTGTTACTTCTAACTTCCTCTGTTGACAACATCCTTGGTATAAGCTGTTCAAACACTACCATCTTTTATATCAGTAATTTACAAAGGCTTCTAAAACATTAATTGGCATTGGTAACATTCTTTTGTCCCAAAGACACCTCAAAAGCCTGAAGCAATACCTATCCCTGTACTTTTTTAGTGTATCTTTTAGGCTGGGAACCAGTTTGCTTTAAGTCACAGGAAGAAGCTGTTACAGACTCTATGTTCTGCATACATCATTCACATCACAGAACGACAGGTCAGTTCAATAAGAGGCTGTGGACTGGAGATGAGTGAAACAGCACTGCCTGAGGCTGCACACTCATCACCAGCAGAAGTGCAGACACATCACTCTTAGCATCCTCTGTCTTTCATTTCTTATACAGACAGTTGTTTCCATAAGTACAGAACAGTTATGAACTTACTCATCAAATATAGCAAACGATGTGGCAACCGGATGCTTTCTGATCATCAAAGGAGTCTTCTGTTTTAAATTAACTTCTGATAAACCAGTTTCTTCATTTATAGTAACCAATGGCAATTGTACTGAAGAGATGAAAAAATTACAAGGGTCTAATATGAAACATTTCTGCGTTTAGTAGGCCTAGAGATGTCCAAGACTACTGAAATATTTATGCTGTTCTTTCAACCCATTGAAAATCGATCAGAATAGAGTTTTGGCTACATTAACAGTACTCTGTAAGGAAAATAAATCTTGAATTTGAGGAAACTATTTTAGCTTAGAACTACTCATTCAAGGAAGTATTTCATTTTTCTCCTCAAGGTAACAGAAGCATTTCTCCTTACACAGAAGCATTTTCTACTCCCAAAATGCCATACACCTAAAATACTTTAAAGTCATATTTAACGAAAACTATTTTTTCCCAAAAAGCCTACTGGACATATAAAAAACAGGAATACAGTCTCATCTCATAAATTTTGTATATTTGTAGAAACAGTGCAATCTGATCTTCAGTTAGCTCCTGCTCTGACAACCCATACAGTGTTGGCAACAGGGACATCAAGAGCAAAGTAGCTAAAGGAAGTCCAGGCCAGCAGTTCCCAGTTAGGAAGGGAGGCCTTGCTGTAAGCTTCCCTTTATACTGCTCCCTACGTGCATGTATAAGCCACACACCTGTGAATAACTAGCCTGTAAATGTTTTCCAAACTATAATGCATTAAGCTAGGGCTATTCTGTTGTGATAAGAGTCTTTGTGTAAGCAAAGCCCCCAACGGCTCATCTTGCCTACACAAAATACATTATCGAGGTAAGACCCTGATTTAGACATTGAAGTTCGCCACTGCTGAAAGATTCAGATCTCTGACACCAAAGAACATGTGGCAGAATAGCTATTACTCTTGTAAGAGAGCAATAAAAAAAGATCCTACTTTCCAGGTGTTACACACCTATGGCAAACACATCATCATTTCCACTTTGTGTTTTAGTAATTTAGCATTCAAATGACAGGAAACAACAGTCCTAATATACTGTGAACAGTTGTCTATTCATCGTGGTTCAAAGCTAATGTATTTGTTCAAGCAACACTAATCAGAATATGTCTCTTGCTCTTGAGAAGACTTACCATTTTTTAATGCTGCTAACAAAGCAAAGACACTGGCATCCAAAAGGTTTCCATCATAGTCCAGACATATGATATCACAGTATAACACCCAAGCAAGCTATCAAAAAAGGTTTGCACATGTGAGATATTACAGCAGCTAAGCAAATGGTGAAATATTTAAGAAAATTCTGGCCACACTGAATACAGATACTTATTTCTATCATACAATTTTTACACTTCAGATGTAAACCAAGATATGAAGACCAAAGAGCAAGAACAACAAAACAACCTATAACCCCCAAATACCTTCTTTAACATCTCAGTACTGGGATCTTGTTATCATTTTGACATACAACTTACCTTGCCGTTTGCAATGCACAGATCTTCTTTCACTATCATCTGTGAACTAAAATAAAATGAGAGAGTAAGCCAGGAAATAGAAAAGTGTCTTGTAGAGTTGTGTTTCAAATGCACTAAGCTGGTTCTTACTTTTCAATCACATCTGCAATGAACTGGCTCGCTGCTTGAGCCTCTTCACCAGGTGGTCCAGAGCGAAACTTCTCTGAGCAGAGGGATGGCAATTCTACATTTGGAACTAGGTAGCAAGAATCATTAGCCATAAACTAAAGAACACAGGCAATGGGATATCAAAAATAGATAACAAACACTCTTAATACCAAGACCAAGAATTTTTCAATCAAACCTTCCTACTTCTCCCTTCAAACAGAAAGTTTTTCATGAGTTGATATTAAACCTGCAGTAGTCTATACTCAGAAACTATGTATTCCATGGAAAGGCACATACTCCCAACTACCATTTTCTGTTTATAATCCTGCTATGACTATGATGACCCCACACAAACTCTTCTTTAAGTGTTAAGCACTCTTCAGTAGATCAACAAACAGCAGCATTT